CTGGATTTATTCCCAGATTTCTGGGTGTTTATTCCCAGATTTCTGAGCTCATTCCCAGCTTTATTCCCAGTTTTTATTCCCCCTATTTTTCCACAGTTTCCTGGCCAGCAGTCGTGAGTGCTGCCTGTCCTGCTGGCCGCCATTGCCACATTCCAAGATTTATTCCCAGATTTTATTCCTGGATTTATTCCCACATTTCTGGGTGTTTATTCCCAGATTTCTGAGCTCATTCCCAGCTTTATTACCACTTTTATTCCCAGTTTTTATTCCAAATTTTCCCCAGTTTCCTGGCCAGCAGCCGTGACTGCAGCCTGTCCTGCTGGCCGCCATTCCCACATTCCAGATTTACTCCTGGATTTATTCCAGGATTCATTCCCACATTTCTGGGTGTTTATTCCCAGATTTCTGAGCTCATTCCCAGCTTTATTCCCAGTTTTTATTCCCCCTATTTTTCCACAGTTTCCTGGCCAGCAGGCGTGAGCCCATCCTGTCCTGCTGGCCAACATTGCCACATTCCCGTGGCTATTCCCAGATTTATTCCTGGATTTATTCCCAGATTTATTCCCAATTTCCTGGGTGTTTATTCCCAGATTTCTGAGCTCATTCCCAGTTTTTATTCCCACTTTTCCTCCCAGTTTCCTGGCCAGCAGCCGTGAGTGCAGCCTGTCCTGCTGGCCGCCATTGCCACATTCCCAGATTTATTCCCAGAATTATTTATGGATTTATTCCCAGATTTTATTGCCAGATTTATTCCCACATTTCTGGCTGTTTATTCCCAGATTTCTGAGCTCATTCCCAGCTTTATTCCCAGTTTTTATTCCCACTTTTCCTCACAGTTTCCTGGCCAGCAGCCGTGAGTGCAGCCTGTCCTGCCGGCCGCCATTGCCACATTCCCACATTTATTCCCAGAATTATTTCTGGATTTATTCCCAGTTTTATTCCCAGATTTTTTCCCATATTTCTGGCTGTTCATTCCCAGATTTTTGAGGTCATTCCCAGCTTTATTCCCAGATGTTATTCCCAGATGTTATTCCCACTTTTCTTCACTGTTTCCTGGCCAGCAGCCGTGAGTGCAGCCTGTCCTGACGGCCAACATTGCCACATTCCCACTGCCACATTCCTGGGTGTTCATTCCCAGATTCCCATGGCTAGTCCCAGATTTTATTCCCAGATTTATTCCCACATTCCTGGCTGTTCATTCCCAGATTTCTGAGGTCATTCCCAGATGTCATTCCCAGTTTTTATTCCCACTTTTCCCCACAGTTTCTCCCAGCAGCCGTGAGTGCAGCCTGTCCTGCCGGCTGCCATTGCCACATTCCATTGCCATACCCAGATTTATTCCTGGATTTATTCCTGGATTTATTCCCAGATTCATTCCCAATTTCCTGGGTGTTTATTCCCAGATTTCTGAGCTCATTCCCAGCTTTATTCCCAGTTTTATTCCCACTTTTCCTCACAGTTTCCTGGCCAGCAGCCGTGAGTGCAGCCTGTCCTGCTGGCTGCCGTTGCCACATTCCCATTGCCATACCCAGCTTTATTCCCGGATTTATTCCTGGATTTTTTCCCAGATTCATTCCCACATTCCTGAGTGTGTATTCCCAGATTTTTGAAGTCATTCCTAGATGTCATTCCCAGTTCTTAATCCCAGTTTTTATTCCCAGTTTCCTGGCCAGCAGCCGTGAGTGCAGCCTGCCCTGCTGGCCGCCATTGCCACATTCCCAGATTTATTCCCAGATTTATTCCTGGATTTATTTCCACATTCCTGGCTGTTGATTCCCAGATTTCTGAGCTAATTCCCAGTTTTATTCCCAGTTTTTATTCCCCTATTTTTCCTCACAGTTTCCTGGCCAGCAGCCGTGAGTGCAGCCTGTCCTGCTGGCTGCCATTGCCACATTCCCATTGCCATACCCAGATTTATTCCTGGATTTATTCCTGGATTTATTCCCACATTCATTCCCACATTTCTGGCTGTTTATTCCCAGATTTCTGAGCTCATTCCCAGCTTTATTCCCAGTTTTTATTCCCACTTTTCCCCACAGTTTCCTGGCCAGCAGCCGTGAGTGCAGCCTGTCCTGCTGGCCAACATTCCCACATTCCCGTGGCTATTCCCAGATTTATTCCTGGATTTATTCCCAGATTTATTCCCATGATTTATTCCCAGATTCATTCCCACATTCCTGGGTGTTTATTCCCAGATTTCTGAGCTCATTCCCAGTTTTTATTCCCACTTTTCCTCCCAGTTTCCTGGCCAGCAGCCGTGAGCCCATCCTGTCCTGCCAGCCAACATTGCCACATTCCCACATTTATTCCCAGAACTATTCTGGATTTATTCCTGGATTTTTTCCCAGATTCATTCCCACATTTCTGGGTGTTTATTCCCAGATTTCTGAGATCATTCCCAGCTTTATTCCCGGTATTTATTCCCACTTTTCCTCACAGTTTCCTGGCCAGCAGCCGTGAGTGCAGCCTGCCCTGCTGGCCGCCATTGCCACATTCCCATTGCCACATTCCCAGATTTATTCCTGGATTTATTCCCAGATTCATTCCCACATTCCTGGCTGTTGATTCCCAGATTTCTGAGGTCATTCCCAGTTTTTATTCCCACTTTTCCTCACAGTTTCCTGGCCAGCAGCCGTGAGTGCAGCCTGTCCTGCCGGCCGCCATTGCCACATTCCCATTGCCAGACTCCCACTTTTATTCCCAGATTTATTCCCAGATTTATTCCTGGATTTTTTCCCAGATTTATTCCCACATTTCTGCGTGTTTATTCCCAGATTTCTGAGCTCATTCCCAGTTTTTATTCCCCCTATTTTTCCTCACAGTTTCATGGCCAGCAGCCGTGAGTGCAGCCTGTCCTGCTGGCTGCCATTGCCACATTCCCATTGCCATACCCACATTTATTCCCAGATTTATTCCCAGATTTATTCCTGTATTTATTACCAGATTTTTTCCCAGATTCATTCCCACATTTCTGGCTGTTTATTCCCAGATTTCTGAGCTCATTCCCAGTTTTTATTCCCACTTTTCCTCACAGTTTCCTGGCCAGCAGCCGTGAGCCCAGCCTGTCCTGCTGGCCGCCATTGCCACATTCCCATTGCCATTCCCAGATTTATTCCCGGATTTATTCCTGGATTTTTTCCCAGATTCATTCCCACATTTCTGGCTGTTTATTCCCAGATTTCTGAGGTCATTCCCAGCTTTATTCCCAGTTTTTATTCCCCTATTTTTCCTCACAGTTTCCTGGCCAGCAGCCGTGAGTGCAGCCTGTCCTGCTGGCCGCCATTGCCACATTCCCATGGCTATTCCCAGAATTTTTCAGGATTTATTCCCAGATTTCTGGGTTTATTCCTAGATTTTATTCCCAGATTTATTCCCAATTACCTGGCTGTTTATTCCCAGATTTCTGAGCTCATTCCCAGTTTTTATTCCCAGTTTTCCTCACAGTTTCCTGGCCAGCAGCCGTGAGCCCATCCTGTCCTGCTGGCTGCCATTGCCACATTCCCATTGCCATACCCAGATTTATTCCCAGATTTATTCCTGGATTTATTCCTGGATTTATTCCCACATTTCTGGGTGTTTATTCCCACATTTCTGAGCTCATTCCCAGTTTTTATTCCCCCTTTTCCTCACAGTTTCCTGGCCAGCAGCCGTGAGTCCAGCCTGTCCTGCCGGCCGCCATTGCCACATTTATTCCCAGATTTATTCCTGTTTTTTTTCCCAGATTCATTCCCACATTTCTGGCTGTTTATTCCCAGATTTCTTCCCAATTCCCAGTTTTTATTCCCAGTTTTGCTCACTGTTTCCTGGCCAGCAGCCGTGAGTGCAGCCTGTCCTGCTGGCCGCCATTGCCACATTCCCATTGCCATTCCCACATTTATTCCTGGATTTATTCCCAGCTTTATTCCCACATTTATTCCTGGATTTATTCCCACATTCCTGGGTGTTTATTCCCAGATTTCTGAGCTCATTCCCAGCTTTATTCCCAGTTTTTATTCCCAGTTTTTATTCCCACTTTTCCCCACAGTTTCCTGGCCAGCAGCCATGAGTGCAGCCTGTCCTGACGGCCAACATTGCCACATTCCCATTGCCATACCCAGATTTATTCCTGGATTTATTCTGGATTTTTTCCCAAATTCATTCCCACATTTCTGGCTGTTTATTCCCAGATTTCAGAGATCATTCCCAACTTTATTCCCAGTATTTATTCCCCTATTTTTCCTCACAGTTTCCTGGCCAGCAGCCGTGAGTGCAGCCTGTCCTGCCGGCCGCCATTGCCACATTCCCATGGCTATTCCCAGAATTTTTCAGGATTTATTCCCAGATTTCTGGGTTTATTCCTAGATTTTATTCCCAGATTTATTCCCAATTACCTGGCTGTTTATTCCCAGATTTCTGAGATCATTCCCAGTTTTTATCCCCCTATTTTTCCTCACAGTTTCATGGCCAGCAGCCGTGAGTGCAGCCTGTCCTGCTGGCCGCCATTGCCACATTCCCATTGCAATACCCAGATTATTCCTGGATTTATTCCCAGATTTTTTCCCAGATTTATTCCCACATTCCTGGCTGTATATTCCCACATTTCTGAGCTCATTCCCAGATTTATTCGCCCTATTTTTCCTCACAGTTTCCTGGCCAGCAGCCGTGAGTGCAGCCTGCCCTGCTGGCCGCCATTGCCACATTCCCACATTTATTCCCAGAATTATTTCTGGATTTATTCCTGGATTTTTTCCCAGATTCATTCCCACATTTCTGGCTGTTTATTCCCAGATTTCTGAGATCATTCCCAGTTTTTATTCCCACTATTTTTCCTCACTGTTTCATGGCCAGCAGCCGTGAGTGCAGCCTGTCCTGCCGGCCGCCATTGCCACATTCCCATTGCCAATCCCACATTTATTCCGGGATTTAAACCTGGATTTTTTCCCAGATTAATTCCCACATTTCTGGCTGTTTATTCCCAGATTTCTTCCCTATTCCCAGTTTTTATTCCCAGTTTTCCTCACTGTTTCATGGCCAGCAGCCGTGAGTCCAGGCTGTCCTGTTTGCCCCTCATGGCCTGCATGTCCGCCAGCAGCCGGGCCACGCTGTCCTGCCTCACCCGCACCTCCTCGCCCTTCAGCGACGACACCTGAGGGCAGAAATGGGGAAAAAAACACCAAAAATGGGAATTTACAATGTGGGAAACCTTCAGGAATTTTTTGGAATTTTTCTGATTTTTTTTCCAATTTTTTCTGATTTTTTTCTGATTTTTCTGATTTTTTTCTGATTTTTTCCCTGATTTTTTTCTGATTTTTAAAGGGTTTTTTCAGCTTTTTTCTTTATTTCTCCTGAATTTTCCAGGCTATTTAGGAATTTGGGGGAATTTCAAAGGATTTTTTTTAAATTTTCATAACTTTTCAAGGAATTTTGGGTTTTTTTTGTGCCCCCGTGGCTGCAGCCGCACCCGCAGCTCCTCCCCTTTCAGCGACAACACCTGAGGGCAAAAATAGGGAAAAAATGGGAAAAAACCACAAAAAATGGGAATTTAGGATGAGGGAAACGTTCAGGAATTTTTTGGAATTTATCTGAATTTTTTCTGATTTTTAAAAATTGTTTCTGATTTTTTTTGTATTTTTTTCTGAATTTTTTCTGATTTTTTTTGAATTTTTTCTGATTTTTCCCTGATTTTTTTCTGATTTTTAAAGGGTTTCTTCAGCTTTTTTTTCTTTATTTCTCCTGAATTTTTCCAGGCTATTTGGGAATTTTGGGGAATTTCAAACGATTTTTTGGGAATTTTTACAATTTTTCAGAGAATTTTAGGGTTTTTGTGCCCTCATGGCTGCAGCCGCACCCGCAGCACCTCCCCCTTCAGCGACGACACCTGAGGGCAGAAATGGGGAAAAAACCACCAAAAATGGCAATTTAGGATGAGGGAAACATTCAGGAATTTTTTGGAATTTTTCTGAATTTTTTTCCGATTTTTTTGAATTTTTTTCTGAATTTTTTCTGATTTTTTTTGAAGTTTTTCTGATTTTTTCCCTAATGTTTTTCTGATTTTTAAAGGGTTTTTTTCAGCTTTTTTTCTTTATTTCTCCTGAATTTTCCAGGCTATTTGGGAATTTTGGGGAATTTCAAAGGATTTTTTTTGAATTTTCATCACTTTTCAGGAATTTTGGGTTTTTTTTGGGGATTTTTTGTGCCCTCATGGCTGCAGCCGCACCCGCAGCTCCTCCCCCTTCAGCGACGACACCTGAGGGCAAAAATGGGGAAAAAATGGGAAAAAACCACAAAAAATGGGAATTTAGGATGAGGGAAACGTTCAGGAATTTTTTGGAATTTTTCTGAATTTTTTTCCGATTTTTTTCTGAATTTTTTCTGATTTTTTTGAAATTTTTCTGCTTTTTTCCCTGATTTTTTTCTGATTTTTAAAGGGTTTTTTCAGCTTTTTTCTTTATTTCTCCTGAATTTTTCCAGGCTATTTGGGAATTTTGGGGAATTTCAAAGGATTTTTTGGGAATTTTTACAATTTTTCAGGGAATTTTGGGGTTTTTGTGCCCTCATGGCTGCAGCCGCACCCGCAGCTCCTCCCCCTTCAGCGACGACACCTGAGGGCAAAAATTGGGACAAAACCACCAAAAATGGCAATTTAGGATGTGGGAAACGTTCAGGAATTTTTTTGGAATTTTTTTGGAATTTTTCTGATTTTTTAAATTTTTTTCTGATTTTTTTTTGTATTTTTTTCTGATTTTTTTCTGATTTTTTTGAAATTTTTCGGATTTTTTCCCTGATTTTTTTCTGATTTTTAAAGGGTTTTTTCAGCTTTTTTCTTTATTTTCCCTGAATTTTTCCAGGCTATTTGGGAATTTTGGGGAATTTCAAAGGATTTTTTTGAATTTTCATCACTTTTCAGGCAATTTTGGGTTTTTTTTTGGATTTTTAAAAAAAATTTTTTAGATTTTTTTAATGGATTTTTTTAGAAATTTTTGGATTTTTTTCAGAAATTTTTCTATATTTTAGGGGTTCTTTGAGGTTTTTTTTTGTTTGCTTTTTAATTTTAATTTTTGGAGAATTTTTTTAGGGATTTGTCTGGAATTTCTAAAGAATTTTTGGGGATTTTTAAAGAATTTTTTCCAGATTTTTTTTGTAATTTTTGGGGGATTTCTTGACATTTTTGGGCCGATTTTTTGAGATTTTTTTTTTCATTATTTTCAGAGTTTTTGGAGAATTTTAAGTTTTTTTTTTTATTTTTTAGAATTTTTTTTGGAATTTCATGGATTATTTTAAGATTTATTTTAATTTTTTTGAGATTTTATTTTGATTTTTTTTTTTTAGATTTTATGTTAATTTTTTTTAGGATTTTTTCCTATACTTCAGGGATTTTTTACGGTTTTTTAAAATTTCTTTCGAATTTTGGGGGATATTTTTAAAGATTTTTGGGGGGAATTTTTGGTGGATTTCATCATAATTTTGGGGGATTTTTCTTAGAATTTTTTTTGATTTTTAAAGAATTTTCTGGAGAAATTTTTGAATTTTTTTTCAGATTTCTTTCCTTTTTTGGAGGGATTTTTTGGGAATTTTTTTGGGAATCTTTTTTTTGATTTTTAAATAATTTTTTTTAGATTTTTTTTAGATTTAATTTTGGTTTTTTTTAAGATTTTTTTTCTATACATCAGGGATATTTTAGGGTTTTTTAAAATTTTGAATTTTGGGGGAAATTTTTTAAGATTTTTTGGGGGAATTTTTGGTGGATTTTATAATAATTTTTAAAGATTTTTTGAGAATTTTTTTTTTTTGATTTTAAAAGAATTTTTGGAGAAATTTTTTGGGGGATTTTTTGGCATTTTTTAGATTATTTTTAGAATTTTTTTTTAGTTTTTTAGAATTTTTGGGAAGGATTTTTTGGGGATTTTTTCAGAATTTTTGGGGATTATTTTTCCAATTTTTAAACAAAATTTTTGGGGATTTTTTCAATATTTTTGCAGAATTTTTTGAATTTTTTTTGGGATTTCTTCTCCAAATATTTCCTCAAAATTTTCCTGATTTTATTTCTTTATTTGTCCCAAACTTTCCCAGAGTATTTGGGATTTTTGGGGAATTTAAAAGGATTTGAAAGAATTTTTTTGGGAATTTAAAATTATTTTAAAAATTTTCATTTTTTTGAATTTTTGCTGGATTTTATCAGAATTTTGGGAGATTTTTTTAGAGAACTTTTTGGGGATTTGAAAAGAATTTTTTGTTGAAATTTTTGAAATCTTTTGGGGATTTCTAGAAATTTTTGGGGAGATTTTTTAGCTTTTTTATTTTTTAAATTCTTTTTTAGTTTTTTAAAATTTTCAGGGATTTTTTTTCCCAATTTTTAAACAATTTTTTGAGGATTTTTTTCAATATTTTTGCAGATTTTCTTTGAAATTTTTTGGAATTTCTCCCCCAAATATTTCCTCGATTTTTTCCTGATTTTTTCCATTTTTTTTCTTTATTTTCCCAGAGTATTTGGGACTTTTTGGGAATTTAAAAGGATTTGAAAGATTTTTTGGGGAATTTTTGGTGAATTTTATCAAAATTTTGGGGAATTTTTTTTAATTTTTTTTGATTTTTAGAGATTTTTTGGGGGGGATTTTAACAAAATTTTTTGGAGAAATTTTTGAAATTCTTGGGGGAATTTTTGGGCAATTTTTTAGATTTTTTCAGATTTTTTTTCTGCTTTTTAGAATTTTTGGGGGGATTTTCTTCGTTTTTACACAAATTTTTGGGGATTTTTTTCAATTTTTTTGCAGAATTTTTAAATTTTATTTCATTTTTTTAAGAATTTTTTGATTTTTAAAAGAATTTTTTCTACATTTTAAGGATTTTTGGGGGATTCTTTTTAAATTTTCTTTTTAATTTTGGGGGATTTAAGAAATATTTTTGAGGATTTTTTAAATTTTTTTAGAATTTTTAGGGATTTGTCTGGAATTTTTAAAGAATTTTTTGGGAATTTTAAAGGAATTTTTTGGGGTTTTTTTGAAAGAATTTTTTGGGAATTTTGAAAGAATTTTTTGGGAATTTTTAAAGAACTTTTTTGAGATTTTTGGCAATTTTTGGGGATTTTTAAAGAATTTTTTTCAGATTTTTTTGAGATTTTTTTCAGATTTGGGGGGATTTTTTTGGCTCTTTTTCAAAATTTGAGGGATTTTTTCTGTATTTTTTTCTAATTTTTAAAGAATCTTTAGGGATATTTTTAGATTTTTTAAGGAATTTTTAATTTTTTCAGAATTATTTGGGATTTTCAAAAATTTTCTTAATTTATTTTGCTTTTTTCAGGGATTTTATTTGGAATTTTTTGGCATCTTTAAAGATTTTTTTTAAATTGTTTAAGAGTTTTTGGAGATTTTTTTTAATTTAAAAAACCAATTTTTAAATTTTTTTTTACATTTTTAGGGAATTTTTTGAGATTTTTTAGGGCATTTTTTCAGTTTTATTTAAATTTTTTTATTATTTTTCAGAATTTTTAAAGATTTTTTTCAGAAATTTTTGGGCGATTTTTTCAGAATTTTGGGGAAATTTTTAAAATTTTTTTTAAAATTTTTTGGAGATATTTTTGGAATTTTTTTTAGAATTTTTTGTGATTTTTTTCCTGGCTGAGTTTCAATGGAAAATTCTGAATTTTCACCAGCTCCTGGCTGAATTTTGGGGCAAATTCTCAATTTTTAATCTTGAATTTTTAATATTTAATTTTTACCAGACCCTGGTTGGGTTTTTATGGAAAATTCTGAATTTTTAATGTTGAATTTTTACCAGACCCAGGTTGGTTTTTATAGAAAATTCTGAGATTCTTAATCTTCAATTTTTAATATTTAATTTTTACCAGATCCTGGCTGGATTTTGTGGAAAATTCTGAATTTTTAATGAATCCTGGTTGGGTTTTAAAGGAAAATTCTGAATTTTTAATATTAAATTTTTACCAGATCCTGGTTGGTTTTTATAGAAAATTCTGGGATTTTTAATCTGGAATTTTTACCAGATCCTGGTTGGTTTTTATGGAAAATTCTGGGATTTTTCAATCTTGAATTTTTAAAAGATGTTGGCCAGTTTTGTATGGAAAATTCTGAATTTTTAATGGATCCTGGCTGAGTTTTGAGGCAAATTCTGGGATTTTTAATTTTAATTTTT